CCACCCCCCGCCGGTGGCGCTCATTTTCCTGACGCTGCCTAAGCGCGTGGGGAGCACAGCCCGGCTCGGGAGGATGCTGAGCACTTCTGAATCCCACCGGCTCTCGGCTCGGAGCATTTGAAACTCCGGCTCCTATATTCAAGGGCGTTTTGAGTCTCTGCCGCCTTATTACAGGAGTGTTTACTTTGAGTTGTTTGGGTACTATAATTGTTATTAAAAGTGGGACTTTAAGAAGCAGCGTTCAGATTTTCACATTCATTTGCAACGCTGCAGCTTACTTGAACGAGCGCTTATGGGAGGTTAGGCAAAGAGGATTTGGCACTCTATTTTTAACGTTTAAATAAAGCAAATCAATTACCATATCGCGAAAAGGAGCTATTGGTTAGTGACAATTCTGTAGATTTTTCTGCAGCATGTAAGAGTGGCCTTTATTTTTCTAAGTGATATTTTCTGCTTAGAGTCAAATTCTTTTCATGCAGCTTACAAAAATAAATACATGTATTTTGCTAAGATCATAATGGCTCATTAGAAGAGGCTGAATTTGGACCTAGACTAAAACCTAACACCACAGGGCTGAGCATGCTTACTTGAACCTATAATGTTGCTAGTTCTCGCTCTCTGGGGAAGGAGAGGACTAGGGGAGAGGATTCAGCCTTCTTAATTGTGAACCTCATTAGTGACGGTTGCTAGGCAAAACACACACCTACCTTCAGTGCATATGAAAGAGATAAACAATACGTCATAGACCATAATGACTCCTGTGCTCAGGGCAACCCTTAATTATTATATTTTTGTTCTCTTATACCTTAGTTATTAATGCAGAAAAACAAATTAGTTTCGTGTGTGTGGACTGCAGCAGATTTGTAAATCGTTTTCCATTTTTTGATGTCTAGATCATATTTCCTTCTGATGATCGTTCCTTGCCTCATTCATTTCTCTGTGTGCCCATTGGTAAATACTATTTGAAACGTAAAATGACAATGATTGCTCTAGCAGCTTAGTATCCTGTGACTACTTTAATTAATTTTATTAGTGTAAAAAGCCGTGATCCTGTCAATATGTTAGCAACAACTTGCAAGAGGAGTCCTATGGAAAGTGATGTGCGTGGCCTGGCCACACAGCTGTACCTGAAACCACAGTGTGTTTGAGATTTCTCACTCTGAGAACTGAAGATGTATTTGACCCCCATACATTTAATTTTTGGCCAGCCCTGAACTGATCAGGCAGTTGGACTGGATGATCATTGTAGATCTCTTCCAATTGAAAATATTCTCTTCTATTCTGTCTGCTCTGCTCTGCTCTGTTTGAATTTTATTAAAAAACAGGTTACCTGAGAGCTGGTTTGTATCTTTACATTGGTGTATTTTACAGTGCAAACAAAGTGATATTTAAATCTAAAGGATTATTTGGGGCTTTGTGGGAGAATAAATACATGTGTGCACGTGTACGAGCGCAGCTGCGATTGTGTGCGAGTGACTCGGAGGCTGATGGGCTCCAGAAAGATAGTATTTCACAATTCTGGATTTTCAGAGGCACTTTCCATTCTCCTCTTCATCTCAGACTATCTTCTTTTAGCAGTTCAGGCAAGAAGTCAATCACATTGAGTCAGTCTGAAGAAAAACATTTTATGCTGTTTTTCTCATACAACCCCCCTCCTGCCGTAATCTGCAGTAAGGCCCAGCCACAGGAAATTGACCTCACAGTAAATTCTTTACAGATTCGGTCATGTTTTTACCATCCACTTAAACTTGCATACATAACCTGAGACTGTACCTCTGGATCAAGGAATATGACAAGCCAAAATAAAATCAAGTCAAATTAAATAGCAAGAAAAAGCTGCAAGCAAAACAAGACTGGAAAAAAAAAATAAATAGAAAAAGATGAAAAATTGGTTGTGACTGCAAAACTGTAAGTATTAAATAAAGAAAGAAGTCAGAAGCAAATTCAGAAGCGCCCGTATTCTGGTTGACAAGGGCTGAGAAATACTAATGGACTTTTTTAATGGGTGGTTTGATGGATGAGAGCAGAAATTATGTAAAAGTAAATGTAGTGGTGTATCAACATAAAGTATGGTGCCAAAAAAAAAAAAAAAAAAAAAAGCATTGCAAATAAAAAAAGACATGTAAATGTGTGCCTACCATTTTCCAGATAAGAAGGGGCCGTACCTTCTGAGGGGTCAAGGCGGCGAGCCCGCCTCCCGTGTTTGGAATTGTTGTGTACAAACATGTTGTCTGAGACAGCCAGCACGTGGCCATCCACATTGACTGTTGTTGATACAACAACCTGAAAAAGAAAACAAAACCCAAAATTTAAAACATCCTGCCTGTTTGCACCAGCGTAGATACAGAATCAGATCTTCTTTTGAGGCAAAACAATATCACAGCCTGTTACTTTTCCCTTTAAATGAAGTGAATGACAACTATGAATACATCTTTGTTTATGTGGCTAACACTGGTGATTTTTAACTCACAATTGTTTCTCTTCAGAACCTGCTACACTAATTAGAGTTTAATCTCCTATTATGCTAACAAATGAATTCAATTCAGGGAAATATTCTTCTAGCCATTAGTTTCAGAAACACCCCTCTAGCCACTCATTTTAAAAGCTGCTGTTTTGATTGATCTGTTGATATATTGATTAGATAGTTTATCTAATTAAAATTTGTTCACTTGAGACTGTCTTCAAATGAAGGGTTGTGAGGATTCCAAATAAAAAAAAGCTTAATAAATCAGGAACCATCGTAACTCCCCATTTTTTCTTCAGTAAATGATCTCCAGGTCAGTTTTACAATTACATTTAATGTCTGATAATGAACTTTTTTGCATCTGAAAAGACCGAGTTGAATATGAATAGTGAAAGTGTTTTCAATCCATGAAAAGTATCCCTTCTCAAGTTCATTTGGATGGTGATTGACCCTGGTATGTCAATGGAATTTCCTCCTTTATTTTTGAGTGAAAGGCTCCTATTCTTGTGTCCAGGTTCAGAGTCCGGCCATAGAAGAGATGATGGATAGGGCCTTCTTTGGCTTCCAGCTGCTTCTCAGTAGAAAATGGAAAAGGAACATATGCAAAATGCACAACCTTCCCGAGAAAAACACCTACACAATGGAGTTGTGCAACTCCTTCCGGAAACGGTATCAGCCAAAGAGGAAACCGTGAGATGCGCCTGGGTTTGCGTGGAACACGGCTTCGTAGGTCGATCGCTGCTACCCCAGACCGACATTTACATCTTATTTAAATACTCCAGCATGGGCCCTGCAGTGTGGGTTCCAGATTTTCTAAATGAAGTGATCACTGCAGCATTTTCTTTGGGGTTTAGCGTGAGTAGAGTCCTTAAAGTCAATGGCTAAGTTGGGCCTTATCAACCCCACTGGTGAGGGCGGCAAAAGCGGGTGCAAATTTTAGCATTCTCCTTCCGTCTATTTTACTTTTGATAGAACAAAAACAACTGCCAGGGTTCTCCCACCAGCTCCTCTACCCAAACACGTAAAGAACAAAAATGGAAGAGGAAAAACTGGCCTCCTTTTGCACAGAGCTGGTCCAAGGCATCAGAAGAAAATTCTTGTCTGCTTCTATGTTTTGGATCACCTCTGATCCTGTTTCTTATTCACAACCCATAATTAGCTTTCAGCTATCACAGCACCTTTTCTGTGTATCCTGCCTCCTTTGAGACAGCCATCTGCGGTACCCTTTAGAACAGCCCGAGGGCAGTTCTCTGCCAGGCTGCTCTGCTTCCCTATCTTTCTCCTCCCAGAAGTGGACACTTTCACTCTTGTCAACATCCACTTTGGAGAGTGCTGAGGCTGCACGCTCACCTCGGCCGCAGAGCTGCTGCCGGGCCGCCGGGCTACCTGCTTTCACTTTTAATGAGATTTGCAGACTTTAAGAAATATTGTAAAACACACAAGTGTGATTTTCAGCAAAGATTTCTGGATTTGGTTCCTAGAACATGGTGTATTAAAAAGACAGAGAAAGGTGTGTATAAAAATGACAACTATTTTTGTTCTGTCATGTATATATAGGTCAGTCACCAAGGGAAAACACTGTAGTTCAGCAAAAGAAAGTAGACATGTTATGCTTTGTTATATCGGCTTATTCCTGCAGTGCACCTAAAGAAAGGTGCTGAGACAGTGAAACTAGTTAAAAATATTGTTCAAGATCTGACATACTGTTAAGTCCAGTTAAACCTTCTGAGAGGCAGGGAGATTAGCTAAAGAGACCCAGGAAAGTCTTTCTAGTGCCTACTGGCTCCATTGTCGACCACAAGATCACTCATGACTGATGCTTCATTTAGTCATCGGTGAGACAAAGAGGACATTTCCACTCATTCCAGGTTTGACCTTCTGTTCTGTTCAGATGGATCAATATCACCAATGCCACGTGAAGCTGAGATGCATGAAAAATGGAAGCTTGGCTCAACTGTTTTGAAGAAATATTTTTCCAGCTACAGATCTTTTCTGTTGGCTGGCTCAAAGGTGCTGGCTTCACCGGTTGGTTGGCTGTGCATGAAAACAGATGTCACATGTTTTGCTATCGAGTTTAACCACAAGTTATTCTTCTCAAAAATAAGAAAGTTTTGAACATCTCAATACTACTTTGTTATCAGTCCCGAATATGAATCATCGTGAAATATTTTGAAACAAAAAGCATACATTTCCTAACAAGCATTTCAAATGCCCCCAAATACGGAGGAAATAATTTGTCCGTCACGTCAGCTGTCTCTCTGTAGTGTTATGAGTCACCACAGGATATTTCAAAAGCTGTAAGGAGAAAGTGAAGTATTAAACATTTTCTAAAACAATTGGCATAAAAATATGTGGGTTGGCCCACCACTGTTGGATTTACAAGTTGTGAATGTGAAAACCCCCTGTGCGAATCCAAGCTTCACTGCGCTCCACAGTCATGTCTGTTAGTAAGTTTATGCTACTCGGTCTACGTAGGTAAAACCTCTGCAGGTCTGAGCACACGCCACACTACAACACAAGGCGTTAGTATGAAGGAAAACTATGGAAATGCTTTCTGAGAAGACACCCCCTTGCTTCAGCATTGATCCATTACAGGCCACTGCAGAACTCGGCGAGTCCCAAGAACCAGCATTTAAATTAGTAAATTTAGGGGAAATGTAAAATACTGACAGCAATTTTTTTTAAGGCACGCAGCGCTGGAGCTACAGTAAGTAGAAGCACTGATACTGCTTCAAGTATCAAACTTCAAGATGAAGATGCGAGTAAGTCTTTTATATGTTGTTTATTCTTTAAGAGGGGTCTGTACCTGGAATCTTCGCATGTCTCGCGGGTTGCCTGCATTCTTCAAACAGTTCTGATTGCACTTGAGGAAAAACTTTAGAAAGAATCTATAAAAATACAAAATTGAAATCTATTAGATTCATCAAAATGTAAATCCAATTTTAAAAAGTTTAATAAAATTTAATCATAAATAGTTATACCCAAAAGAATACTGGTAGTGAAATATTACTTTGCTATTAGTTAATGAACTTATTTTAAAGCGTAAGATCTCTGTTGTAAACAAGAACATTATTGCCAGGGAAAGGCAAATTTATATTTTTAATTTTTCAAGAACTACAAATGTATTGACTCCAGGCCATATCCTTAGCTCGGTGTGGGAGAGTTGAATTCAATGACTCATTGACTTCAAAGGCAATGACTTACACCAGATGAGAATTTGTCTCTATTTTTTTAATACATTTTATTTTTTTCACAACTTATATTAGCAGTAATGACCTCTACATTGAAAAATTCCAAGGTAATGAATGATCAATCTTCTGAAAAACACTTGGCTTTGCCTCCGGTTTGGAAACTCTCGCTATTCAAAGGGACTCGATCCAACTCCTGCTGACTCCAGGGAGATCCAGGCGGGATCTGCCCACCGGCAAGGCCCCGGTTCCCTCATTGTTTTTGAAAGGAAAGGAACATGGCAAATTAGGCCCTGTCTTATGACCTCTTCAACCTTTGCCAGCCTTTAACTGTAAGGAGTCACTCTACCCGGGGATGGAAATCCAGCTTATTTTTGCTGAGCGGCAACCAGCAATTATTTAGGACTAACCCTTATCATCTAGGCATCTCCCCACAAACTGTTTTTGAGCAACGCCGCCTCCTGGGAACACAGCAAGCACTTATAGGAAGAGGAAAAGCTTGGAAAGATGCAAACTCCTTTATGCTGCTCTCCTGTACTGGAGGAATGAGCTGATATGGGATGTCTCCACCCCGCAGGCTGTGCGAGATGGGAGGGCCCCTCACCGTCCTGCCCTCGCACAGGAGGGTGTTCACAGCCTAACGCTGCCTCTTTTCTTCATGTAGCTACGTTTTCGCATTTCATAATTAACAAAATGTTCCATGGGGCTGATTTTTGGCTAACGACCGGCAGTTAATGACAAGCACGCCTCAGGACTTTCTCCTCACCCAGAGTTTCTCAGATGCTCTGGTCCAGCAGCTCGTGCTGCCCAATGTCGTACATGTTGAACAGCGAGGTTAGGCAAAGCTTTTACATTTCGATTATGAACAACTGTTATTTATTCACATCAGTCTTTATAACTGACTCTGACTACCCTCGCTGTATACACCCCACAGAAGTTTCCGTGTGCCGACAGCATTCCTGGCAGGAGGCAAGCCAGGCGCCTCTCCCCTTCTTCAGAACCCAACGTGGCCCAGCCGTGGTGAACAGAAAGTACAACCCTGGCTGCACGCTCACTCCTGCAGAGCTTCAAGGGTTGGACAGGAGCTTGATGGGAGTACCCCCGTATCACAAACTGCTGCTTTTAATCACAGCTCTTCCTTTTCAGTGGAACCTTGAGCAGGACCCTAATATTAATAAAGGATGCTAATGCTGAAGCAGCGATCTCTCAGAGAAGCAAGCGGGGAAACGACGAGTTCCACTGAAACTGTGCATAAATAAATTGATGCTGTCAGTTCAGCTGAGTGCATGGTTTTTTAAAACTTCCTACCCCAAAATCTATAAAGGGGTTTTCGCTGTCGAGCTGAAAGAGAGCTGGATTTCTGGGGTGGTTTCTGCCAGCTCAGATGCTCACTGGAACTCAAGTTTTCTGGACACTGTTGCAGCAACACTATCAGCAACTCCGTGAAACTGCATCTCTGTTAG